CCAGCAAAGATCAAACGTTGCTGGTCAGGAGGAATTCCTTCTTTGTCTTGGATTTTTGCTTTCACATTCTCTATTGTGTCAGAGGCTTCTACTTCTAAAGTGATGGTTTTTCCTGTGAGTGTTTTGACAAAGATCTGCATGCCACCACGAAGTCGCAATACCAAATGGAGTGTAGATTCCTTTTGGATATTGTAGTCCGAAAGAGTTCTTCCATCCTCTAATTGCTTGCCAGCAAATATCAGACGTTGTTGATCAGGAGGAATTCCCTCTTTGTCTTGAATTTTTGCCTTAACATTCTCTATTGTGTCAGAGGCTTCTACTTCTAAAGTGATGGTTTTTCCAGTGAGTGTTTTGACAAAGATTTGCATTCCTCCACGAAGTCGTAACACCAAGTGGAGAGTAGATTCTTTCTGAATATTGTAGTCTGAGAGAGTTCTTCCATCTTCTAATTGCTTCCCAGCAAATATCAGACGTTGTTGATCAGGAGGAATTCCCTCTTTGTCTTGAATTTTTGCCTTAACATTCTCTATTGTGTCAGAGGCTTCTACTTCTAAAGTGATGGTTTTTCCAGTGAGTGTTTTGACAAAGATTTGCATTCCTCCACGAAGTCGTAACACCAAGTGGAGAGTAGATTCTTTCTGAATATTGTAGTCTGAGAGAGTTCTTCCATCTTCTAATTGTTTACCAGCAAAGATCAAACGCTGTTGGTCTGGAGGAATTCCCTCTTTGTCTTGGATCTTTGCTTTCACATTTTCTATTGTGTCAGAAGCTTCAACTTCAAGGGTAATAGTTTTTCCTGTTAAGGTCTTAACGAAGATCTGCATAATTGCAGAAAACTGTACAAAGAGAAAAAGTACAAAAGAATAAAAATTATATCTATTACAGCGTCATGTTAAAAGGTAAATTTTTAAAAGGTTCTAGAATAACCACTCCTTTATGGATTTCAGCGATTTTGATATATGTTATAGAAATCAGCATTTTTAATAACTTCTTTCTCTTACACAAATATCAAAATTCTCTCTATTATGTAGATGCTCGCAAAAAACTAATACATTAAATTCTATTCATATATGTACATATATTCACAAGTATAGCAAATATTGCTCTCTTTGTCATTTTTGTATCATATTTTAAAAATCAAATCAATGAATGAATACTTTGTTCGAAACTGCATAAATCTTATAAGATCAATTTGTTTGCAACATTAATCAGCAATGGGTGAGAATGATGTGGTTAATCCACAAGTTCTTCTGTTAGGTTAATCCATAAGTTCTGATATGATAACAATAATCTTAATTATGTATTTTAATAACTTCTGAATTTTGTTTATTTTGGTAGTCTTTTCTTTCTAAAATAGGAAATCAGTCAAGAGAGATTGAAAAACAATGTATTTTTATTATTTTGTTTAACTTAAAAACACAATATGCTCTCAATTTTGAAATCATGATTGAAACACTGGTTTTTCATTTAATTAAGTCAGTAGATGACCAAGCTATCCTAGGTAGGTAACTTCTTAAGAGACATGCTGGTTCCTAAGGATCTGCAATTAATTTTTGCTTTAAACTACACTGCCATGCCGGTCTAAGCTTTAATTAAAGGTACTAAATATAGTGTTAAATAGAAAATTTTAGATTTAATTTTATGTGATTTAATTTTATGTGATTTAAATTTAGATTTAATTTAGTGTTAAATAGAAAATTTTAGATTTAATATTTTATTAGAAATTAATGTAATTTATGAAAAAAATTTAAATAATGATGCGGTTTTTCTTTGTACATGACATAGTAAATTACTACTTTTTTTGCTAAATTTTTTGTTATGAAGCATTTTTGAATTATTCTTATAATATCCTCTGCAATATTTTCTCATTTTATATGCATCATCTCGTGTATACTATGGAATACACATATCTCAAAAACTAAAAAGTAATGGTTACAAGTAGAGGGAAAAGTTGCTTAGAACTACGCTATTTAAATTAACAAATAATTATCACATATACTGTATTTTTTCTTTAATGACAAAAAATATATTTTTTTTAATCTTTTATAACTGATTTCTCATTTTAATAATATAATAAAACGTTTGAAGAAAAAACTAAATATATAAAATTCGAAAAAGCGAAATATATAAAATTCGAAAAAGTGATCTAAAAGCATAATTACTATAAAAAATCGTTTCTTTGAAAATGTATCAAGAAATTGTTTTCACTCGTATTGAAAAATATAAAAATTTGTTTTATTTTTTTTATACATTACACGGTCATATGATTACATTATTTGGTTTAAGCAAACGTTTAATGGTGTATTAACATGATACTGAAATGGCGTCTTAAGCTTCTAAGAACTAAATTCTAACTAACTAAAGCTTCAAAGAATCTAATTCACGTTTAATTCATATTTAATTACAAAAATATTCATCAATTCTCAATTTTTGCATATACGTACAATAATGATACGTAATAGCAAACTCTAAAATAAACTTTTTATGCAAGCAGTAGCTGTATATATTTTCAATTTAGAAGAATAATGGAGACTCACGAATGAGACATACAATATTGATTATTTGAAAGCTTATGTAATATTTTTATACCCAACCCAGAAAAGCAGCTGTCATACTTACATTTGTTTAAATAATTTACAGGAAGATATTTGCAACACAAGTTGAATTATAAGTCTCTCAAAACACCAAAAAAAGCAGAGTGATAACAAATGTCAGAGGGAGGAATGAAAAATAACGTATACCTTATATACCTTATATATAATATACCTTATATATAACAAATATTTCATATAACTACCAAAGTATAGATTCTAAATTCCCTAAAATGGAAACATTGTGTTGAGTTGCTACGTTACATATAAACTTGACTTTTTGACGTTTGATGATTTTGATATATAAAATTCGAAATCTGTACTTATCTGTTCTTATATAATTGAAATATGTGAAGTATCTGTATATTCATCTGTATTCAAAAATTCAATATCTACATTAAAACGTACTTTTAAATTAAGCGCGTCAGAGATAGCTGTATATAAAATAAAATGGTATTTATAGTGGAAAAAAAGTTTTGAAACTTAAAATAATTTATAATTTGACTTAAACGTAAAAAATTTAAACGTTCTACTTACAAATTTAATTTTAAAATAATTCAAAGTAGAACATGATAAATTTTTCATAGAAAGCAAATTTAAAGTATTTCTGGACTTTTAATGTTTTCAATGTTGACTATACATTCGAAAATTAATGTCTGAAATTTAAAAGAACATAAAATAGTTAAGGATATATACATATTTGTATAATGGATGCTAATCTTATGTACGAAAGAAAAGAACAATCAGTTTTGTACGCTTCATTTCCGTACATAAATGATTTACGTTGTGCAGTTTGTAAAATTGATTTTATTGAAGTTCATGATTCGGCAAAATCAAATTTTCATTGGCAAACATTAAAATGCCGGTAAGTCTAAATTCCATAAATTAAAAACTTTTTATTGTATTATTCTGTTTAATGGTAATTTTTACATTTTATGAATAATATAATTTTAGATTACTTATTCATTTAATATCTGACGTTATTGCCTCACCAATATCGGGAACAGAACGGTGTATATTTGTTATTGGATATAAAAAACTTTTTGAAACTGGAAAATTGGAAAGAATTTTAAAAAATTTTAAACTAGTGGTTTGTTCAAGATATAAATTTCCATTAACTTTGAATAGATTATTTTAATAATAAACTAGTTTTTATTCCTACTAGTATCAAGGATTACGGTCGGTTACTATGGAGCTTTACAAAAATTGTCTTATCTATACAATACAGACTAAGATAAGTCCTTTATGGAATAAAGTTGGTGACTATTTTGTTCAAGGAAAAAATTTTTATAATTTTGTAGAAGGCATTAGAGGATTAAAATTAGATATACTTAGAGAAGGTAATAAAAGATTTTTAATTTTGTTCTTCACATCATGATAGTATAAAATCTTATATATTAATAGTAAAAACTTTTTAGAAAATAATATATGTTTACAACTTCATGCACAAATAGTTAAAATTCCATACATGACACTTGAAGATTATCTTTCACCATCTATCATATCTCACTTTTTAGCAGACCCTGAAGGATATATTGATTTATCTCATTATAAACTTCCATTTGTATATGTATTACCAAGGTAACGTTAATTCTTTTTTTTTCGTATATATGTCAGTTTAGTATTTATTTTATAAAAAGTAAAATAAAGTTTTAAAATAAGATTTTAAAATTTCTATAGCATAAAGAAAAGCAAATTATTATCTGTATCTAAAGAACTTCCAGCAAACTGTATTTTCAAAGATTATGAACAATTACGTAGATACTGGAAAAATATGGTACAAATGTTTGTGTATTATGTATTTTATAATTTAAATTACTTCCAAATATGTTTTTGTACATACATATATATAATATTTCAGTATGGATATTCCTTGCCAAAAAATAAAGATGGAATTTTATATTATGAAATTAAATTTTTGATTCCTAAATCTAAAGTTTTTACATATCCTCATATGTGTATTGCAAAAAATCCATTAGAAGTTATTTCCAGTAGAGATAAAAAGTCAACGATTACACATTTCTTGTCTGATATGCTTGTGAAATTACCTGCAATTTGTGGTAAACAATTACAAATATCCAAAGATACTTCATTTCATACAGTAAGTTACAAAAGATATTTAGTAATCTCTATTCAATACTCATAGGAAAAAAAAAATCTGTTTTATTTGATACTTCATTTCATATAGATGTCTTTAAATACACATGTATCATTTAATGTAGTAGCAAAAGATAGAGGATTAGATAGGTATCTTAAGGAAAAGGATAATATTGTTTCACAATTAGAATTTTCTGATAAAAATGTAAAATTAACTGGATTAACAAAAGATACAGATACTACATCATTAAAAACACAATTAACTAGAATTCATCAAATTCATAATGTACGATTTGATGAAAATATAAGAATAAAATTAAGCAACAAGGATATGGAAGGTAATCAAAATATTACTAAAATAATTATACAATTGTACAAATGATTTTAAAATGATTCTAATTATAAGATAAATTTCATAGATAATCAATATTTAAATGGTTCGGAAATTTCATCTACACAAGATATAAGAAATAATTTCATCTCGGAAAATATATCACGAAACTCAAACAATAATTTTATTGTACCAGGAAAAGAAACAATTTCCACATACTTTAAAATTCAAAAAACGAATTCTTATGTTAAGACAAAAGAGGTTCCTATTTTACATTTTTTTCATAAGATATGTATATTTCATCATTTATATTTTGTTTTTTTTTTTACTTATAATCCTCTTCATTTAAAAATAGTTAACACAAGAAGGAGAACAAAAAAAATTAACATTAAAAGAGAAATTGTCAAAAGCTAAATCCAGTGAAGATAGCAGTATATTTTTATCAGTATGCACTAGTATTTTTAAACTTTATATTATTAATTAAAAATTCTATATACTACTTTATCTTACTCCTTTATTTATCTTGACTTATCTACTTTATAGGGTCAAAATATTTCTGTGGAGGCAATGGCAAAAATGAATAAATTACATCAAATGAAGAATAGTGAATTAAGTGATTGGCTCAAAAAGCATTCAATTCCACATAATTCTAAAACAAAAAAAACTGAACTTATTAACAAAGTATTATCTCATATTAAAAATACACAAATTTTACAACAATTTCGTATATAAGAACATCTTAAGCAAAACTAAAAGTGTCGTATATATTTTTTTTATATTAAGTTATTTAAAAAAAAATAATATGCTTATATAATAAATATTAAAAATAGAAATCATTAATCATTAGTATTAAGTACATAATATAATATATTTTTAATTGTTATACATTAAATCATAAAATAAAATGAAACAATAACACATAATTAAATATAATTAATAACGACAACAAATGTATTCTTATATGTTTGACTTTTTATAATATATTATAACATCTAATATAGCCTTTCTATCAACTTCATTTTCTATACCAATTTCAATTAAATCTTCATTAGTTAAAGTCATAAACAAATCAATGTCAACCTAAAATAAATAAACATTGAATTACAATATAATATTTAGTAAGTAATTGTTGTATTTTATTAGAAAACAAATAAAATATATAACTTATTAGTTAGTATGGTATCAATCAGCATTGTTATTGTAATTTGCAATAAAATTAGGATATATTTACTTCTTGTTTGAGAAATATAGGCAAGTGTTGACTTAATCCATGATGTTTTAGTAAAACAAACATTTTTGCTTCTTCTGGATTTAAAATCATTCCTCTTGGAGGTGTCCTGTAACGTGGTGGTGTTGGTGTATTTTCTCCAAATACATTTTCATCATTTATATTTGGAGGAACGTTTGATGGTCGCAGTGGACTAAATTCAGGTACATATTCAAGAGTAGTATCAAGATCTTCTTTGTGTTGGATATTTAAGTCTGGTGGTCGAACAGACTGCAATCTTTAATAATATAGTTAAATTAAAGTATCATATTTATTTTATATCTAATATACGTAATATAACATATATCAATGTACCTCTGCAAAGGTAATTCATTTACATTTCCATTACTTTTTGCATAAGAAAATACTACTTCATTTTTATATAATTGTTTATCTTTTGTTTCATCTGTAATATTAATTTCCTTACTATATTTATTTTGTGTAAAATAAATATTTGGAGAACTAGGTAACATTTCATTAAGAGTCAAGGTGGGTGAAATTAAACTACACTGAATATTTTCTACATGATTTGTTGGTAAACTTAATGTAAAAGATTTAAAAAATTTTTTTGAATTTTTTATATTGTTATTACAATCATTAGGATTGGATGTTGTAATATCAAATGTATTGCAAACATTTAAAGAAGACAGATTATTGTTATTTTCATTTATTAATTTGGAAAAATTTAAGTAGTTATTTTCAATTGATTTATTTTCTGTAGGAATGTTATCCGAATTATCATTCCAATAATTTTCCGTACTAAAATGTTCTGCTAAGTTTCTTATTTCTGGTACTGTTGATTGTTCCATCATAATGTGAGTATAGTAATCTATTTAAAAATTAATGGTAAAATGAATAGAAAATCTTCAAGCAATATTACATATTATTTCATAAATTTTTGAAAAATATGTAATATCTTACTATTTTTGGAAACATCAAATCCTAACTCTATCAATTTAAAAAATAAATTTTTATCATTTTTCATAGCAGCAATGCAAAGTGGTGTAATATCATCGTTTAGAGAATTTAAAAGTGCTGCTGGACATGCTTCGTATACAGTTTCAAACATAGTTTTATTTATTGCTGCTGCTAATCCAAAAACAGACATGCCTATAAACCAAGAGTAATAGATGTACATGTTCAAATTTAACAATGTATTTTTATATTATAATTTTAATTGTATAAAAAAATAAGATTTCTAATCTCTTTTAATACCTAAATAAGTTGATTCATTTATGTTAGCATCTTTCTGTAAAAGATATTTCACCATTTCAATATGTTTATTACGAATTGCTAACATTAATGGTGTCCAACCAAATTTATTTTTTCTATCGATAATTTGAGAGCAATCATGTTTTCGGAAAATTTCTTTTACAATATCAAGGCATCCATTTGCTGCGCTAATGTGTAACAAATTCTCTCCATAACTATTTACTGTATTTAGTGTATATTCTAGAAATCGAAATTTAGTATTTTTTTATTAGTAATTTTTTCGTAATTATATCAGAATAAAAAAAATAGTGTATGCTTTAACAATTAGAATTAATAAATTATTGTATAATGTAGTTAATTATATATATAATTAATTTAATACCTTCTTTTTGTAATGCTTTTATAACTTCTTTTTCCATGGTATCCTTGGTATAATAATTTTTTTTTTCATTACAATCTGTTTGTAAATTGATGCTATTTTTACTAAACATTGATATTATATATTTCCAGAGCCTTAATTTGTACTTTAAGTGTATTTAATAATGTATTTGTACTTTAAGTGTATTTAATAATGTATGTAATAATGTACTAAAGTAGTATTTAATAATGCATCTTTATATTTATATATTTCTGTATTTACGAATTAAACATTGAAAGTAACCTATAAATAGTCTAATATGTATTTCATTTGACTTGTTTGTAAATTTCTGTAAACAATCTGCTTCTGCAACTTATTATTTATCATGAATTAAATAGTTCAGCAATATAACATAAGAAGCACTTTTTAAGGAAATTAATAAAAGTTCTTGCATTTAAAAACATTTATGGATCGAAAATCTGTTTGATTTCATTACATTTTTGATTATTTTCCAGATATAAATTTGAAAATTTTTAGTTTTGTCAGAAGTGTCTTTTTCACTGGTAATATGATGGCAGCACAATCACGTAAAATGTGACGTGCACGATAATTTCTGACAGTATTTGAATTTCAATTTTGAAATCTTCATATATCTATCTGGCCCAAGAAGACAATTATTTCATAAAATTGCAAAAATAATAGTATCATTCTTGTTCCTATAACGTGTGAGCAACGAATTAAATGTGGTTTGTTGTAACATAACGTGCAACTTACAGCGATAAACTTTAAGACAACGTGAGTTATTTTCTATCACGTATATTTCCAAGTTTTTTCAATTTGTTTATTCCCAATTGAAATATAAAGAATTTCATTACGTTAGATTATAATCGTGCATTTTTCTTTAATGTTCCATTTATATTTTTCGTGGTGTAAGTTTTTGCTAGGTTAACTTTCAGACGACGCCGAGATCGTATTTTTGGGGTGGGGGCACTAATTAAGAGAATGTGGTTGGGGGAGACGAGCACGTATCGTTACCGTTAGTGGTCAATTTTCTCGAATCTTTATTAACTTCGGATCCACATATTGTATTCAAGTAAATGCATATATGTTGAATTCTCTTTATTTTCTCTGTGATAGATTATAGATTTAGCCAATTTCATTATAACAATATGGAAACACTGATTTCCTATTATTGTATCATAATGTTCTGTTATAATATGTATAAATTTCGTTTGAATCATGTTTAATTTATTATTTAGAATGGGAAGCAGTGGTCAATTGTATAGCCTTTCTTGGGGAGAGTTTAGTTCATCACTGGCATCTGCGGTACAATTGTTAAGGGGTCATGGAGATTTGGTTGATGTGACACTGGCTGCTGGTGGACGCAGTTTCCCTGCACATAAGATAGTCCTTTGCGCAGCTAGTCCCTTTTTACTGGATTTGTTAAAGGTTATTTTTCTCATTACTTTGAATGTTTTACGCAACATAATTACTTACAACATAATTACAGCTTGCCTTTAAATTTATTTTGTACAAATAGAGCACACCATGTCAACATCCAGTAGTTATGTTAGCTGGTATAGGAGCAGATGATTTGGAATCATTGTTGGAGTTTGTGTATCGTGGTGAAGTGAGTGTGGAACCTTCTCAGTTACCTTCATTACTTCAAGCTGCTCATTGTCTTTGTATTCATGGATTAACGCCTCCTACTATATTGACCGAGGTATGTTTTATAATCAAAATGCGATAATATATTGCATTGAAATATTTATATTTTTCTTTGCCACCATATATTTATTAATTTTTTAATCAAGTAAATATTAGTCATTAGTGGGTTTTGAAGGAAAAGACGGTTAATATCTTTATTTCTTTAGAATGGGGAGGAGGTACCAGTATCAGCAATACCTACAGCAAATGAAACTTTATCAAAAGAAACCATTAGTCCATATTTTCCATTGAAACGAAGAAAAAAAAGGAGAAAGTCATCTTCATCTTCTGGAAAATGGCCACGCAACGTTAGTACTACTGAGAATGAAAATAGGACTGTAGATGGAAGTGATAATAGTCGGTCGGTAAATTATGATCACAAAGATGAAGATAATACGGAACATGGCGATGATACAGGTAAGAAATATTCAACTTTTTTATATTGTAGCATATTTTGTAACTATTATATTTGTTAAATTTGTTACAACTCTCATTTCGTGTTTAATGTTCACTTCAAATAATAAGAAATATCATTTTTTTACTATATATTTTAAATACAGTCTTGTTTTCATTATTGTACATTGAACTGAGTTGATCATTGTTATGTATATTTAATGATCAGTTTAGTAGCAAATTTTGGCAAGAATGGATATCTACAATATCTATATATTGTGTTCTGTGTCCGATATATTATTTTCATCACTTATTAATATGTTTTTGGAATATAATCCATAAGTGTTTAAAGCTCCTTTCAAGCTTTCATATATTAGAACGGACACAAGCACAACCATCAATCGGGTTGAACTGCGTCTAGTCAATCACGTCATGTGCTATAATGATTCGAAAATTTCAGATGTGAAAATCAGTTCAGCCCTGCATGGTAATATTGTGTTTGTGTCTGTTAACAGCGAACGATCGGTTGGAATATTCGAATCATCGAAGTTGTCACTCGCCTCGTGGTCAAGAAGCGCAACCAGTGTCGGCCGAAAGTTCTCAAGCAGGAACGCATCAAGATCAAATATCGGACAATGAATCGCATCTTCACACTTTAATGCCAATGCAGCCATATTCTCCACTACATATACCGCAATTCCCTGGTCCTTTAAATATGGGCTTTCCTCCTGGTATACCACTCCCACTAGTTACTCAGGGTTCAACTGCTGGAACAGCGTCTTGTGGACTGACAGGCAATATGAATTTATCTAAAATACGAGGTGCATCCGACTGTCCAGGTGTTTGTCCATTATGTGGTGCTACGTTACGGCAAGCGAGAAATTTACGTAGACACCTATTATCCTCATGCAAATATCGATTTAGTAGTAATCCGGTTCAGAGTTCCCCAGCCGACACAATGATGATAGAAGTAAAGCCTGAAGTCGAGTTATCGAGTTATAATGAGCAGTCCATGACGTACGGAACTGATAGTGGAAGTAGTACCTGTGAGCAAATAATTTGTAAGCCCAGTCCACTTCCCTCGCCAACATCACAGGGACCGAGTGTTGTTTCTCCTCAGAGCAACATTCCGTCTCCGACTATCGCTAGATGAATGTACAGAAAAAAACTGAAAAAGAAGATATGACGCAAACAGAATCTTCCGATTCTGTTATTGTGATTGTGAAACTTTGTTTCTGAAAAATTTTATTTCTGATCGTTAATTTGTTCTGTAATGTAATAAATTTAATTTAAGGGAGCGCATCCGTTTCTTTTTCTTTTTTTACTTATCGTTTTAATGTACTTATATGAATTTATGTTCAAACTTATTGTTTATATCAGTTAAGAAAAATTATAACGGATTGGCATTATTCTGTAAAATTTGTCAGATTGAATTGATTGTTATATTATGTATAGTTTATCATTTTATTTTAGGAGTTTTTCATTGAAAATTAATGAAATTAACTTGAAACGAAACGTTTATATGAACGTTAATATAAACGTTTAAAATAAAGTTAAAGTATACAAAAATCTTCCACGTTAGTAAGTAAGAGCAGTATCTTTAGGGTTAATGGGAATAGCAGTCGATGAAAAATTATGCCTAGTGAGAGCGATGGTATAAGTATTGCAAAATATTTCTAAATTTTCGATATCTTTGAAATATTCACTTACGCAATAACTGTGTATGATTTTATATAAACTTATTGAAATCTATCTTTGTAGCTTATCTTTTTCTCTTATTTCTTTTGCCAACAAAATGTTAAACTAATATTTTAACATTTAACACACGTGTAAGTAGAATTCTGATTTCTGTCGATTTCTGTTTCAAAAGAAAGACAAAGTCTCAATATTCAAATTTAAGTAAAAATGTATTATATACATACATAAAGAATTTACTTCTATATAATAACATAAACTGGCAGAAATTTCAGTTCCTACTTTAAATAAGAAGAAATTGAAAACTTAACTTATATGTTCTTTTATAAAATATTGGCAGTTATTTTATTTAGAATATCAATCAATTGATAGGTGTAAAAAAAGAAAAATCAACAATGTGAATTACGTTAACGGTATATTTAACTAATGATAAGTAACAAATTCGTTTTTGACAGAATAGCAAAAGTTTATTTTATCATAGACTGTATACTTTTAAATAAAAGAATATCTACAGGTCGTAATTCTTCGAGCAGTTTTTGCAAATATTTTCTGTACATGGCCTTTTTGTACGTACTTTGCATAACTATTTATTTATAACTATCTTAATCTACTTTTTATGGAGTCTCAATACGTCTTAGCGGTAAAGAAAAAAGGTCAGAACAATAAACATTAACAGATTAATATCCATGATTGTATACTTATTCGATTATTGCCTATTGTTATGGTGATCTTTTTCAGGTGTCTTTGAATGTGTTTAGATTTGACGGAATTAATTTTAGGAGATGGATTGTCCAAAGCACGAAGCATGTCTGATCAACCGGCGTCGTGTCCACTTTGCGGGGCAATTTTGCGTCAATCACGAAATTTAAGAAGGCATTTAGAGCTTCTACACTTTGGATTTGGTAGCAGTAATAAGTCAGGTGTTCACATGAGACACCGAAGAACTGATAGAAATAACGATTTTGTTCGGTCAACACTCGCATCCATTTGTCCACCACATATAACAAGGACAGATTATTCAAGAGTTGTAGAGAACACCGACTTGTCGACGTTAACTTCCTTATCCATCGCTTCGACAGTTAATTCCAACGCATCGAATGTCAGCCTTGCAGGTGATGAATGCAGCTTGAAATAGAGAAAAGGAGGAACGATACAATTACTTTTGATATACAGAGTATAACAACTAATATTTTAATAATTTGTCTCAAAGTACTTGGAATTAAAAAAACGTTTATTCATTTATAATTTAGTAACGTTTCATAGTCATAATATTAATTAATATTTAAAATACTTAAAGCCTTATTCTTTTTACAATGATTTTGATTGATTTATCATGTGATATACTGTATGTAAATATTTCATATGATATACTGTATATAAATATTTCTTTTTAATAATTTATATTTTTTTCAATTACTTTATACAAGTTAATTTCAGTATTATTTTGCGATATATTTTTTTTTAATATTAAAAACTAGCATCTTTCTGTAACATAAAATATAAGCTGGTGAATGATGATTTAAAATATGAGTTGGTATAGTATAAAAGTCTGTATTTTTTCATCAATATATTTAAATACCTGTAATTGATTTGTTTAATTAATTAAACAAAAGTGTCATTTGACATCATATGACTATACTTATATAAATGGATCAACTAATTAATTGATTGATATAGTATATTCATTTATAATTTAGTAACGTTTCATAGTCATAATACTAATTAATATTTAAAATACTTAAAGCCTTATTCTTTTTACAAATGATTTTAATTGATTTATCATATGATATACTGTAAATATTTCTTTTTAATAATTTATATTTTTTTCAATTACTTTATACAAGTTAATTTCAGTATTATTTTGCGATATTTTTTTTTTAATATTAAAGAT